AAGGGATGGCCCAATGAGGTAAGAGGTGGGATGTGGAGACTTCCACCTTGCTAAAGAGCTGATGACTGAAAGGTAAATTAGGTCAGATTGTGTGGATGCCGTTGAAAGACAGTATAGATTTCATAAGGACAATTGAAGTTTTTTTCATCATCTGTTAGGTTTACAAAGAAATGAAAATAAGACATGAAGGCAAAGTTATTAGAGGTGCGGTCCGAACTGAGGTTGTTCACGCCCTCTACTCCTTCCCAGCTTTCTGCACTTCAGTGCTTTATCCTTAGAATCTTTAGTTATCTATCTCCAGAGTCCTTTATTCCAGCTTAGCCCCTTGTTTTGAGCCATTCATATGCAGTGGCTCCTGGCTGCTGGAAGAGTTGAGGTGGCATGAAATCCCCTGAGTAGTAGTCCAGATGTGTAAATCAGTCTCTAAATCTATTCAGCGCACCTCATATGACCAGGTGGCCACTATGTGCCTATTCACATACAGCTGTCCCTCACATGTGTGGAGGATTAGTTTCAGGGCTCCTTCTCTGGAACACTGGAATCCAAGGATGCACAACCCCTTTGTATAAAATATGCATATAACCCATCATGCATATTCATTCTCCTATATGGATTAAATGACCTCCATCTTATTTTAATACCAGCTACAGTGAGGAAGCTATGTAAATGGTGACAGAAATGCCTATACATACATGAAGCTACTATAGGCATAGTTATATATTATATGATTGACACTTGTTAGATCCTGCAGATAGGGAGGGCAATTGCATATGTGTACATAAACACCTTCCTAATAAATTTGTCCCCAACTCTTCAAGAAGGACCTGCCTGTAGTTTTATGATGACCCTTGACTTGGAGGGGAGAGTTCTTGCACATTGGAGCTTGGTGATCTTTGTGCATCAGTGTCTGCTCCAGGGATAGGAACAGAGTGAATGTTCAAGAAATGACTTTCAAGTAAAAACTACAAATTAAATTCATTACCCAATGCGCAACATCTGTCATATCAGAATTAAGGAAAAAGTATTGAAATAGAAAGCTTTTACTTGTGAATTAAGGAATACAAACAAATTTTAAGCTGGTATTCCAAAATAGCAAGAGCTATTGAGTGATACCCCATCATGAAACTGAATGACCAATGTCAAAGTGGTGTACAGCTTTGTATATTGGAGGTCATCTAGAGATTTGACAGCAAAATAAGTACAGCCAAGTGCTCACAAGAATGTCTGTATTTTCAGCCCGCCTGGTGCTATTCTCTCAGTACCACTGGGAACATTTGGATGGTCCATTTTTATGAGAGATCATTGTCCTCAATAAAAATATTCATCATTTTAATTGTACACAGAGAACTCTCTGGAACCTTTTAAAAGAAAGAAACGATGCACAAAGTATCCATAAATTACTCTATAAACATGGTCAAGTCTTTGTTTCGTCTTCTCTCTGCCTGTTTATGCTATAATATTAATAAATGCAGTATTTTAATGAGCTTTGACTGAATTATCTTCAGAGAGTTGGTGCGGTGTGCTCCATGGAGACACGTAACTGAAGTTCGTAGGTTTGGGTGGGGGTGTGTGCTCCTCATTAGCTAGGACAGCTATGCACAGGTCTGCTCAGGAGAGTCGGGCACAGCTCGAGCCCACCTGTGCCCCTGCAGGACTACAGTGTCTCTGCCCTGCTGTGCACCAACCCCAGGGCTTTCATTAAAAGTGTCAGGCGCCTTCCCCATAGCAAGTGCTGATGGCATGTCATCCTGGTGTCTCTGGAGGAGCCGCGCTGACACCTACTAATAGTCTGACAAACGGTTAAGTAGCTGTTCCAGCTCAGGTTGAGGAGGGGAGCCTGCTGCACCTGAGCATTGAAGCCAGGCCTCCTGTCCTCTTCACAGTCAGTGCTGAGGTGAAAGTATGCTGTACTGCCCCAGAGGCCCCTCCTCTGTGTAAGATTCTGCCAGAGGAACCTGGCTGTAAGTCAGCAAGACTCTAGAAGCTGGTGGATTTCTTCCGTAGTTCCATTTTGCCTGCCCAACATCTAAAGCCCCATCTGGGTTTGGGATATTTTGTATCACGTGCTTTGGAGAAGAGTTCAAAGCTATGTTCATTCACTGAAGCAGAAAAGCCAGTCCTTGCCTTTCTGAGCTGAGCTAGGTGAGCTAGTTTGGCCAAGGAACAAATACACAGAAAGGCTTTGAGTCTCTATCACATCAAACAAAAAGTTGAGAATTCATAACAGAGGCAGTCATATCAGGGTTTAGGCACAAAAGTGCCTTCTGGGGACCAGAATCCTGGAGATCACAGAACGACCCAGGCCACTCCAGGGGAGGGTGTGTTCTAGGGCATGTGTATTCTTTGGTTGGTAATATACACCTTTTTTGGCTTGAATTTCCAGAGAGGGATTCAGAGAACTCCGATTTCTCTGGAGACAGAAATTCTTCCCATTGTTTGTAATCCAGTGCACTGATTCATCCATTTATGGCCTTAGTATCATCAGTCCATGGGCAATTGACATAATGGTATTGACTTTAAAAAGCTTCTGCCATGCATGTGAGGATCTAGGCCATGGGTCAGTGCAATGGCACCTTCTATTTAATAATTCCTTCCCATGTATTTCTTCTTCTTTAGTTTTTAAACTGTTTTTTAATCTTACCAATATGTATATTCTGACACATGTTTTGCTATGTAAGGATATTCAATACCTCATGACTCCTGGTTATTAAAATTAGATGCAGGTTCAGCATCTTGAAGGGTCAGCCGGGAGGTCAAGATGCCTGAGCACTCTGTTTTAGTCCCCAGCTGAGGACTTCTAGGAATTTGGAGAAGCATCTGTCTTTAAGGCCCACATCAATGTCATAGAGACATTGCGGAGCTATTCTTTCTTTTGCTGAGAGGTTCATTTCTTGACTTTTCTGTCAAACCCCTAGGAAGGTAATGGATTTTGTACTTGCTATTGGGTCTATTGGATTTGGGATTCTCTTTCTTCTTGGGTGTGTTTTGGAGGGTGAGGGGGAATTAGGGGGGAGAGAAGGTGAGATTGGGGAAGTAATGAGTAAGATTAATTGTTTGTAAACTTTTGTGTGCTTGTGTCTATTTATGATACTTCTATGGTCAAGTGTAGGTACCCACGTGCTACAGTATAGGTACACCGGTCAGAGAACAACCTCAACTTCTCACCTTCTACCTTGTTTGAGACATGGTCTCCTGTTGTTGGCCCCTGTTGACATAAGACTAGCTGGCTCACGACCATCTTCAGATCTTCTTATCTCTGCCTCCATTTTACTTAGGAGCACTGGATTACAGACCCATGCTTCTGTGTTGGGGTTTATATGAGTTCTGGTGATCTAAACTCTGGTCTTCATGCTGATCTTTCCAAATCTGTGAGATGAAAAATTCAAGTTTAAAATAAGTTCTGGCCTTATTTATTATACATTGCATGTTTCATAGCATAGAAAACAGAGTTTATATGGTATCATCTGAGGGTGTAGGGTCATGTCTGCTTATTCCGTCAGATCCAAGTTTTAGTTCATAAAGAGCTATATTCATACTCTTTTGCATTTACTCTGTTTATATAGCCTGCCAATTATAAAATATTAATTATCTTTATTCACTGAAAAAAATGCAGGGAGGTAGGTGGCAGAGTTGAGCTTGAAATTTGTTGTTTTGAACTGGAATATGGCAGTTGTGTCATAAGAGTGAGGAGTTTCAATATACATACACACAGTAACATAATGGAGTAAGAATCCACAGCATATCTCTCACTTCTTAATATTTATCACTTCTCTGGGGCTGCGAAGCTTTAAAAGCCTTTCCTCTGGCTATTTTGAAAGATTTGATACAATGTTGTTGACTATAGGCACCATACAATGCAAAGAACACGAGAATTGTTCTGTCTCTAGCCATCACCTGTACTTACACACAAATCTCCCTCATTCCACCTGTCCTTTTACTTCCTCAGGCTCTGGTATTGACTCTTCTACTTCTTTAAGAATAGCATATATCTATTCCATATGTGAATGAGATTCTGCAGTATTTATCTTTCTGTGATTGATGTGCAAAATGGCTTCCAGGCTCATCCATCTTATTGCAAATGGCATTGTTTCATCCTTTTTATGACTGAATATTATTCTATTGTCTACATGCACTGCATTTTCTATATCTCTTCATCAGTTGATGGGCACATAAGTTGTTTCCACTTTTTGGCTATTGTGAGCAACACTGGGATGAACACGAGACTGTAGATACTGATATGATTTCCTCTAGACATACACACGGAAGTGGGATTATGGTATCAGATGGCAGCTCTATGTAAAGTGGTTAAAGCAATTTTGTTTTCCATAACCATTTACTAGTACTAGTTGATATTCCCAACATTACATAAGTTACCCTCTTTACATATCTTTCTAGTATTTGTAATTTTTGCCTTTGTCAATCTTTCCTTGCAGTGCTAGAGATCAAGCCCAGGGCCTTAGACATGCTAAGTGTTCTACCACTGAATACATCCCTAACTCTGTTTTGCCTTTTTAATAATAGTCATTCTGAATGGGGGGACATGACACATCATTTGGGTTTGATTTGCATTTTCCCAATGAGCAATGTTGTACTTTTTCATATACTGGTGATTTGTACATCTTTGAATGCATTTTTGCCTGCTTTCCACTTTCAGATGGGTCATTTTGTTTATTTTGCTGTTGAGTTTGGTTTTGAGATAAACAAAGGATTATGGTGTCTTCTATTTAGCAACCTGCTGTGAAAGTGGTGTGATCACTGTTTTCAGTGACAATTCAGGTTACTCCTCAACACCCTTTGGTAGTTAACTATCAGATACCTGTGGGCTTTCCCACCTCCTGAATTCTCACACAGCATGCCCACCAAGTCTGCTGGAGAACAGTTTCCCCTTCCTTTCTCAGCAAACACAGTTTCCTTATGAAAGCGCTCAGCTTTTGCACATTTCTCTTGTGTTCCATTTGAGACTTATTTGTCTCTTACCATTGTCTGTACTCTCTTTCCAGGGAAGAGTGATCCTTTCTGCCTACTGGAGTTGGGCAATGACCGGCTTCAAACACACACCATTTACAAAAACCTCAACCCTGAATGGAACAAAGTTTTTACATTGTAAGTGTTTCAGCCTCTGGGATCCAAGGAGCAGTTTTAACTTAGAGAGCAATTATCCTTGATGTGTGTGGGGCAGGCCAGGGCTCTTGGGGGGAACTTGCTGCCCGGTTTTATGTACAAAGAGTACATTTTATTGTTTTCTTTCTTCCAAAAACCTTTTATCCTTTCATTTTATGGTGTGGTTTAATAATAGAAGAGACCATTTGAAACTATAAGGGACTGTTACAGGAGACATTTGTAAAGTAGATCTTTTAGGGACTAAATTAATCTGTGGGAAGATGGAGGCTTCCAGATATATGACTAACCTATTCCTGGGTTAAGGGAAAGTTACAAATGGAACCCTGCCTTAAATTCAAGGCACCTTTTTGTTATGATAGTGTTTTAATGCAAGGAGGTTTGTATTCTGTCAGTCTCTTGGAAAATATAGATTATCTGTGAATCCATAAAGACTCCCAAAGGCTCCTTGTACTTCATCTGTCAAAGTGGCCCATTCCTTAGATGTGCCCTGTGTGTCCCATCAAACTTAGGAATTTAGGAAGATTGGTACATTTAGTTTCCTAGTTTGCCTTAGATTTCCAGGTGCCTGACCTTTGAGGGGCAGCCCCTACTGAATTTGAGTAAATTGAGATTATGGTCACCCCCACAAAGCTGAATAACTGCTCAGTCTGTCTATGAGTGAAAAAAAGACAAGGTTGCATCCAGTGAAATCAATGGTATTCACAGGAAGTCCCCAAAGGTCTACCAAGAAGTGATTGAACTCTCCAGAGAGGTCTGCCAACTGCCAGATGAAAACTTTGTGTTTTCCAAACACGTTGCCAGTAGCCTTGACTCTGTTTTTCATTATCAGGGGTACTTGGCTTCTGGTCAATATAAAGAAAACCATGTTTCTAAAATGGTTATGAGATTTTGGGCATTTTGTGGTTTAAGAAGAAAAAGCCTTCTCTGTATGTCAGGAAATATTGAATGCTATCACTTTCTCCTTTCAAAAAAAATTTAAAAGATATTTATTTTATGCATATATTTGTGAACCTGTGTGAGTTTACGTGCCTTCAGAGGCAGAAGAGGGTACTGGATCCTCTGGAACTGAAGTTATAGATGGTCATGAGTCACTATGTGGACTCTGAGAACCTAATTTGGGTCATCTACAAGAGCAAGTAAGTGCTCTTAACCACTGAACTATCTATCTCACTGGCCTCTCAAAAATTTTTATTCAAACAAATGTGATTTTTTACTTTTCTCATTTGAAAGCAACTTTGTAGTCCTTCCCTTTACTCCTTCCTCATTCCTCTTTTTTTTCATCATCCTGTTTCTTTAACAATCTCACCCTTGAGTGTGTACATGTATGCAAAATGCCACATTAAAAAAGTTGACTTCCTTTTTCATGTGGATGTCTGAATCTTCTATGATGAAAGGTTTGGGAATACAGTCAGTTTGATTTAATTTTTGGAATTTAATTAAATGGTAGTTTTATACTCCGAGGACACACAGACTTAATTAGTGAAAGTGTTTTCAGATCATCATGGAACAGACTTCACTTGTGTGTTTTTGTGCATAATGCCTGATATTTCTTGTTCCAGTCCCATTAAAGATATCCATGATGTCTTGGAAGTGACAGTGTTTGATGAAGATGGAGATAAACCCCCGGATTTTCTTGGAAAAGTCGCCATTCCCTTGTTGTCTGTAAGTTTTCTTCATTAATCAATGATTTCTGAGTCATTTTACAGTTGATGAATTTCTCGGGTCTAGAGTTGCTTTGTCTTTGTCAGTCTGGGAGGAGAACAATTCTCTCAGCTATAACTGGAAAGTGCTATTAATTCCTCATCCTTATATTTTAGATTTAAAAAGGCATAGTCTTTTCTTGGCCAGTTCAATATTTAATCAGCACAAATATTCCAACCAATATTTTGATATACTTCCAGATTTTCTTGGAATCTCTGATCGCCTTTCTATTTGATTTCAAGGAATATATGTCTATGGCTGAATTTTTCCATATATTAATGAAAAACAAACATGTATTTCTTCATACCTCTTCATTATGTATTTCTTTAAAGGTGAATTGTTGATGTCTATGACTTTCTCTCCATTCTTCTAAAGACCATTTCCCCAAGGTTCTACCTGTTATGTTCTCATTCAGACTTAAAAAAATATTTCATGGAAGAAAGAAAAGATTTTCTTAGAGAAGCAAGTGTGTTTAGGTAGCATAGTCAGGGTCAAAAGAGAGAAGAAAACAGAATGAAAAAACTGTCTATAAACTGCAGCGGAGAGACCACCTGATAACTTCACAGAGGTGAAGGGGAAAGGTGGGTGGTACGTGGCCCCATTTTCATTAAATTATTTTATTTTTCAGTTCGATTCAACAGGAGTTTGAAATTTCAGAGGAGAGAATTTCGGTTTTCCATGCAGGCTCCCTCACGCTTTGGTGTGCGGTCTTAATATAGCTTCATCAAATAAGACTTCATTTCTTCCCAAAGTTATTTTCTTCCAAATCTTTTTGTGCATTTTTTGTGGATGGAACATTGTAATTTAACTGAGATTCGTCATGCTCACACAATGTTTACAGAGAGGGGAATGCTGTACTCTTAATATCTCTTCGTCTGCTTTTGATCACTTGGTTAATTTCTCCCCAAGTTCTCATATCCCTGACGCTCCTGCAGGAGTCTGTATGCAGCATCTGCTGGCTGGCGCAGCAGGCCCCCGCCAAATGCTCAGAGCCCTTCATGGCAGGCTGCGGGGCTCCCAGAAAGGAGAGGGTAATGTGGGATTTCCCCCATTTTATTACACGTTTGTCAGTTATTCCTAGAAGAATACATGTAACAGGAATATTGGGTACACTTTAAAAGAACTCTAAAGAGAGGAAACAGAAAAAGAAACCAATCTTACAATTCATTTCTCTTGCTCTCTTTGTCTCTCTCAACTTTTTACACTTTTTAATAGATAACTCTGCAGTTTATTTTATTCCTTGACAAATAAACAATATTTGGTGTGCTTAAAAACCCTCCATTTTTCTTTTTTGTCCCTAAAATTTCTCTGTGTTTAGTCTTTCTATTATACCAACCATTGACCACGCTTCCTTCAGTCCCTCTTGTCTTTGTCCCTTCCTCCCTCCCTGCCTCTCTCCCCAGCAGATCTAAGGCAGAACTCTTGACACTTAGGTCCAGCACATTTTGTTGTTGCTAAAAGGAGCTTCCCCTTGCTATTCGGAGTATCCAGCACACTCTTGACTTCACTACACTAGGTGACAGTGACACTTATCTCCCTCTGCTGCTGTGGCAACCAAAGATTTCCCAAGACATTCTCAAAGATCCTAAAGGGAGGTAGAATCCCTCCAAGGAAGAATCATTGACCTAAACCAACACATTTTTTCCCCAAAAATATTCCTCCCCAAATAGAATGTTCTATCATAGAACATTGTAAATTGCTGTAAATTGTTCACTCATTCCTTTGACAAATCTGATTTTTCACTGTGTGGCAGGTACTGGTTCAAATAACAGTGCTCCAGTGCTGACTATAGAGGCTGGAGCTTATGTCATGGTTCCATGTTCTGTATAAGACAATGGTACATAAACAACAGCAACAAAAAAAAAAAAAAAAAAAAAAAAAAAAAAGAAAAAAAAAAAAAAAAAAAAAAAAAAAAAAAAAAAAAAAAAAAAAAAAAAAAAAAAAAAAAAAAAAAAAAAAAAAAAAAC